GCAGAGACAAGCAATGCAACAAGTACCGGGGAGGGAAGATTCCCGGCCGGGGGATGTTCCCTGTCCCTGGGGAAGGAAGGGGCTGCTGCCACCCCAGGGCCACCCTAAAGCCACCCCAGGGACATTTCAGAGCCACCCCAGGGCCCGAGGAGGGGACAGCAGGGCTGCCCTTGCCGGGGGCGCTCGGCTCGGGGCGGGGAGGACAAAAGAAGCTGAGCTGTGAGAACCATGGAGCCGTTCAGGTTGGAAAAGGCTCCCTGAGATGGGCGAGGAAAGCTGGAGCTGCCAAGCCGAGCTCTGAGCCGCATCCCAGCGCCTTTGAAGCATCCCCAGGGATGGGAGCTCCAGCCCAGCCGTGCTGGATAATTCTTTCAGGGGGTTCTGTACAGTAACAGCGAGGGGAAATTGCAGAAAGTTCCTGTTACTGCCTCATCCACCGGGGAGGAGGTTTCTGCCAGGCTGGGGGCAGCGGGGCTGGTCTCTTTAGCATCGCTTTTCGTGCTCGTTTTTCCCTCGGTGGTTTCGCGTGAAAACACATGAGCTAGACCTGTGCTTTCCTCGGGGCTCCGCAGCGAGTTATCCTGTGCTGGTGGTCCCCTCCTCAGCTCTGTTAATTGGTAACTCGGAGATGGAGAGTCCTTATTAGCAAACTGCCCCTCTCCGCATCCCTCCCCTCCCGCTGAAGACAAATCCGTGAGGCGATTGCCAGGAGGGGCTGTTTGTCAAAGGCTAATAAACAAATTCCTCGCGAACACCTGAATGAGCCAGGGCCAGGAACAACCCAATTAAAAAACGGGAGCTACTGGTTGTTTTTTTTGTGGCGGTGGAAACAATCCGGGCTCCAAAAGGGTCTATTCAGAGGGCGCTCCGAGAGGTCTGTTTGCAGCCCGCTATTGTTGTCAGAAGCCAAATAAAAGTTCAGCTGGGGTGGGGGGAGAGGGGAGGGAAGTGATTAAATAAAAAAAAAAAAAAAAAAAAAATTCACTGCTGCCTCCCGAACGCGCTGGGAGGCTCAGTTCAAAGGGATCGAGCTATGCCCAAACGACGCTGCCCGGGTTTACCCACGCACTTGAGATTTTTGTTCCTAAATGTTGCGATTTTTAATGATGTCATCAGAAGTAACCCTTGCTTCCCCGGATCGGAGAGCAGCAGGGACAGCTGGAGCCTCTGGTACGGCTGCGATCTCCACGCTGGGGAAGGCACGGGAAGGAGTTGGAGCTCGTTTGTCAGAATTAATGAATTTTGCTGTCCCCTGGCCGGGCTGGGAGGTGGCTCCAGCCGTGTCAGCCCCGCCAAGAGGGAGGCAGCAGCCTCGCAGGAAACCTCGAGCGGTGTTTTGGCGTGACACCTAAATGGGGGATAAAACAAAACAAAAAAACAATCTCCTAACGACCTTCGGCTGTAGAACCAGCCTTGAATGGCCCATTTAGCAGCCACGTTACCACGCTGAAAACTACTGGGGGAGGACGTGAATGCCAGCCTGAAACAGAGATCACGGGAACTTTTATCTTGAGCATCGCTAAAGGCTGGGCGTTTTCGGAGGATCAGCCTAGCGAGGGTCAGCGGGGTCCGAACGAAAGGGGCGCCCAGCTCCCTTGTCTGGGCAAATTTCGAGGAAGAGCCCTCGCTGATCTCGGTGGGGAATTAGGCTGGTGGGCAAGGGGATGCTCTAATAACAGGATTAGACGGGGCCGGGTTCGTACATATAGTTCTTTAAAAGCCAGCGATCCTCCCTGACACAGTTCCAAGATTCCCCCGAGCTCTTTCTGGAGCTGCAATTAACATATATTAATGACTCTTTCTTATTAAGCGTTGATCGCGCAGAAACCCCGGGCAGACGCTTTCGAATGGCCTTTTTCAAGCGCGGGGTCTCTCTCGCGTTCAAGTTGGGCTGTGCTGTAAACTCCTTATCTCGCCTCACCCTCCTTTGTCACCCAAATAAATAAATAACAATAATAAAAGGCTCCTCAGCCTTTGACAACTGTATTTACACGACCTCAAGTGTTCTCCGACCCCCACCAGACACACGGGGCTTCCCTCGTAGCGAATTTAAGAAAATGGCTCCAGGCATCAGGTTTCCCCCTCGCCCCGTTTATTGTGCCGGGCTGGGTCCCCTCCTGCTTTCCGCCCCTTCCCCGAGTCCCGGCAGCTCCGCAGGCTCCGTTCCCCTTCCCGGGGAGCTGAATTTGCTGCCGAGGGGGTGGCGGAACGGGGTCTCTCAAAGAGCACTGCGGTAACTTCGGGGAGCAGCGGCTGCTCCAGCGGGCTCGCCTCTTCCCTCCTGCTCCCCACGGCTCCTCGCCGGCGTTTTCAGGGCAGGGACAAGGAAGGACAGAGCCACAGGCGGTCTCGGGTGCGGGGTGGCCGCGGGAAGGGGCTGCTGGTGGCCACAGCCCCGTGGCCGGGCGGGGGCTCAGCCGGGGAATCGCAGGGAAAGCCCCGAGGGAAGGAGGCTTCGGGCTCCCCCTCCGCTCCCAAACCCCGCCGAGAGTTTGGGCACACAGCACTAACGCCGAGGCTGAGGGACTGGAGCAGAGCTCAGCCCTTCTGGAAACAGCAATCAGCCGCATTTTGAAGCTTTCCTCAGGTCATGTGCGGCTCGGGAAGCCAAGAGCAGCGGGAGAGTTACAGGGACCTGTGAAGTCTGGAAATCCATCGGTGTGTAGTTACAATTTTATTCAGTGAGGTTCCGTTCTTTTACAATATCAGCGATGTTTCAAGAGAAATGTGTCTTGGTTTGAAATAATATGGACCTTAAAAGTGTTGAAGAGGTTGGCTTTTAGAGGGGAAAAAAATCTCTAATTTGAGAATTGAAAGACAAGAGTCTGAAACTTAACGTTGTAATATTTATTTAAACATCGACAGAAACACTGTTCTGGGGGATTTCAGCACATCCTCTAATTCTCTATATAGCCCAATTTTTTGTTTCATGTCAGCGTGTCCAGTCCCTCCAACAAACGATCATATAAAAGAAATATCAAAGTGGTATCAGGATATAAATCAGTCCTATTTTCTGCCAGCCTGGCAGGTCTTAAACCTCAAATGGAGGGACCAAAATATTTTGATGGTTAGAAGTTAATTACGATTGTCTGAAGCTTTTCCAATATTATGCAAAAGTTACACGCGAACCATTCCAGCCTGGAACAACCCTTCCGCTGTCACCCTGTCCCCTCGGGCTGCCAAATTTTGACTTCGCTCAATACACCAGCAGCAAACCAAGCAAAAACCAAAGTGCTGACTACACCACAGCCGCTCGCAAGCGGGATTTATTTCCCCCCCGACGCTGTTCAACAGATCATTTTGTCAAAAAAAGAAATCCATACAAAACGAGTGAGACCTTCAACTGCTAAATCCCAGCAGCGTTCAGATGGGCTCAAACCAACCCCCTCCACTCCACCGTGCTGTTTCCAGAGTGCCTCCAGTGCCCGCCCGGTCCCCGCTCCCGCAGGAGGAGCCGTGGAGGGCTGGAGCGGGGCCGGGGGCTCCTCACCACCGCCCTGCCGAACCCCCCGGGCCCGGAGCCCCCTCTCCAGCCCGGAGCCCTGCCCTGGAGGTCTTCTCCTCCCCATTACCGTCATTACACTCCCGCTCTTGTCTTTGGGGTGACACCGGCGCCTGCCAACCGGGACCTGCGGCGGCAGCATCGCTCCTCGCCGGGCCGCCCAGGACGGGACGGGAGGCTCAGACACGTCCCCACCTCCAGGCTCCTGACCCTCCCCGGCGCCCCACACGCCCCTGGGGCATTTTGCTCATAGCTACAGCGGCGATGCTGCCCGCATCCTCCGGCAGCGAGGCTTTCCCCAGCAGACTGCGGCTCGCTTTGCCTCTCCTGCCCCAGCGCTGCCCGGCCCGGAGAGCCGCCCGGCTTCTCCAGAGCGAGCGGGAGCGGAGGCTGCGGGACGAGGATGAGGAGGCGCAGGGATGGGGCAGCCCAGCCCGCCTGCCCCGGTCCCCGGCGGAGAGCGCTGTGCCCTGTCCGTGCAGGTGCGGTGTCCGTGCCTCTGGAGAAGGAAGGGAAGGAGGGGTAAAGCGAGGGGAGGGATGGGCAGGGAAGCCGGTGATTGACAGCTCAAGTGGGCGCCGCTCCACTCGCAGATCCGCCGCCTAAGTTTCCTTTCACACGGAGAGAACTTTCTGTTGCCATGAAACTCGGGGGATTCGCAAGCGCTGTCCCCTCTACCTCCCCCACCCCCCACCCCATCGGCAGCCGAGTGGAAAAGCTCAAGTGGCAGCGGGGTGGGTGCAGGTGGGGATGGCTGGGAGTGCCCGGCCGGCAGCCACCCATCCCGGCCCCGCTCCAGCCCCTCTCCCACCGACAGCAGTGCCCGATCCCATCATGGCAATGCAGATTTTCCCCCAGGCGATAGCTCAGGAGCGGAAGTGTTTAGCCCGTCCATCCTTCCCCCGCTCCGGGAGTGCGTCCTCACTCGGTCTCCAGGCAGCCCCTCCGAGCTTGGCACGGGGCTGCGCATCCGCCCGGGAGCCCCAAACCCCTTTGTGCCCGGCAAGCGCTCCGCTCCGCCCCACTCCTCCTCCCCAGGGCCCCGCAGGACACCCCGGGGCCGCTCCGTGTCCCCGGCACGGCCGCAGCTGCGGGAGCCGCTCTGCCCCAGGGACAGCTGCGGGGCCCGGGGGCTGCGGGAGGGGCCCGGCGGCGGCGGCATCCCCCGAGCCCGGGAGCCTCCTCCCGAGCCCCGGGAGCCTCCGCCCGCCCCCGGCCGGTCCGTTCCCGGCGTGGGGCTGTCGGGAAGCGCTCTCTGATTGGCCGCAGCCCCCCCATTTATAGCCCGTCAATCACGGACCCCCGCGATGAGCGCGCCCGCGGGAGCCGCTCCGCAGCGCAGCAGCTCCGCCAGCACCTCGGGGAGCGGCGCCTCTGCCCGCCGCACAAACTTCCTCCTTCTGTCGCGGCAGCCGCCCAGGCAGGTTTTGCTTTATTTCTTTCTTTCTTTTTTTGGTTTTGTTTGAACTTCCTCTCCCCGCTCTGTGCCCGCCCGCCCGCCGCCCTGGCGCACCTTCTGCCGGCCCCGGCCATGTACAGCATGCTGGAGACGGAGATTAAAGCGCCGCAGCCCTCGGCGGGCGGCACCGGCGGCAACCCCGCTCCGGGGAGCACCGGCAAAGGCACCGGAGGCGGCGGGGCCGGCAGCGGAGCGGGAGCGGGCACGGACCAGGACCGGGTGAAGCGGCCCATGAACGCCTTCATGGTGTGGTCCCGCGGGCAGCGGCGGAAGATGGCCCAGGAGAACCCCAAGATGCACAACTCGGAGATCAGCAAGCGCCTCGGCGCCGACTGGAAGCTGCTGAGCGACGCCGAGAAGCGGCCCTTCATCGACGAGGCCAAGCGGCTGCGGGCCGTGCACATGAAGGAGTATCCGGATTACAAATACCGGCCCCGGAGGAAGACCAAGACCTTGCTGAAGAAGGACAAATACTCGCTGCCCGGCAATCTGCTGGCCCCGGGGGGGGGCAACGCGGTGAGCAGCCCCGTCGGGGTGGGGCAGAGGATTGACACTTATGCCCACATGAACGGCTGGACCAACGGGGCTTACTCGCTGATGCAAGACCAGCTGGGCTACAGCCAGCACCCGGGCATGAACAGCCCGCAGCTGCAGCAGATGCACCGCTACGACATGACGGGCCTGCAGTACAGCCCCATGATGTCCACGGCCCAGACCTACATGAACGCCGCCTCCACCTACAGCATGTCCCCCGCCGCCTACGGCCAGCAGCCCTCCACGGCCATGAGCCTGGGCTCCATGGGCTCCGTGGTGAAATCCGAGCCCAGCTCGCCGCCTCCGGCCATCGCTTCCCACTCGCAGAGGGCCTGCCTGGGAGACCTGCGGGATATGATCAGCATGTACCTGCCCCCCGGCGGGGATGCCACAGACCCTTCTTCCCTGCAGGGCAGCAGGTTACACAGCGTCCACCAGCACTACCAGAGTGCCGGGACTGCCGTGAATGGTACCGTACCACTAACTCACATATAAACTTGTGGCTGCTCCGGACGGTTCCCCGTCTTAATCCTTAACCCCACCACCGCTCCCTGACCACACCGGGACGTACGGCAGTGTTGCTCGGCTTAGCAGACTTGATACTAACTCTGGAGAAATTTTAAAAAGGAAATCCGTTAGTTGTATTTTTTTTTTTTTTTTTTGGTACAAGAAATAATATTTGAGCAAGTTTGTTTATTTTAATAAAGCACAACTCCTGCCTCCTAGAAGCCGCTGTGAAGTTTTCAAACCACGGCAACTCCTTTCCTGGTTTCGGCTAGGCTGGGCACGGTTTTATTCGCTTAAAACTTTTTTTAAAAAATCTTGCATCTTCCAGTTTGATTTCTAGCCTTGCAATGACTTAAACAAAAACCGCGGGCTTTTGTTTTTAAAGTCGGTTGTTCACATAATGGCTGTGGTTTATTAAGTGTTTTGTTACCGACCCTCGCTTGGTTTCTATCCACAATCTGTAGCTTTCACGACTTTTTAATTTTGAGGTTTTATTCCGTGAAAGGGGGGAGGTGGGAGAGAGCAGAGCTGTGCGGGTCGCAAACGCATTTCTTTTATTTATAGTAAGTTGTGTGTCTTGGTTTTCCTTAAGCTGTAAACTTATGTAAATGGGTTTGTGAGTTTTACTGTGAATCATGTTTTGACATATCGGATAAAAAAAAAAAAAGCGTTTTAGTTTTGTTACCGGATTCCTTCCAAAAAAAAAAAAAAATCCAACGAAATACTCCTTTCCTGTTCCTAGTCCTCGTTTGCTTCCTTCTCCCAAACGAAGAGATCAATAAATTTTATATCAGGCACGTCGGCGGTGTCCGGGCGCTTTGTGCGGATCCCCCCGCGGCTGCGGGGAGCGGGGCAGGGCCGAGCCCACCCCGGGGCTCCTACCGGGAGCTGCTGGCGCTTTTCGGCTGCGCTTCTGCCAAGCCTGGCCTGTGTTTTGGGGGGGCGGGAGAGGGGGGAGAATGCGCTTCTTAGATTTGGTTTTCATTACAACTGGAGCTGGACCCGGGCCGCAGAAGCCTCGCTGCGCTGCGAGCCGCGGCCACTTGTTGCCTCTCGGCCGCCGGGGAGCGAAGGAGATTGTCTCCGCCTCGGCTTGTTGTGGTTTTTATTTCGGTTTTTTTTTTTTTTTTTTTTTTTTCTGTCAGGAGGATTTGCCTAGAAACGACAGCTCATCTAAAATATTTACAAAAGTAAAACCCGTTGGGGAACTCTTAATTAGACTCCATTAAAAATGAATGGTTACAGGAGTCCCCAGAGGAAATAAATAATTCAATCTTTTTCAGTATGTTTGGCGAGTGCTTTGAGTCTGGACAACTTTTCCTTCCTTTCCCTGCCCTTTTTATTATTTTTTTGTGTTTGTTTTTTTTTTTTTTTTAGGGGTGGGCGCTGCGGACCAGCCCCCGCGGGGTCCCGGGGCGGCCGGCGGAGCTGAGCATCGCTTCTGCCCCGCTGCGGGCTCTGAGCATCGCTTCTGCCCCTCTGCGGGCTCTGAGCATCGCTTCTCCCTCTCTGCGGGCTCTGAGCATCGCTTCTCCCTCTCTGCGGGCTCTGAGCATCGCTTCTCCCTCTCTGCGGGCTCTGAGCATCGCTTCTCCCTCTCTGCGGGCTCTGAGCATCGCTTCTCCCTCTCTGCGGGCTCTGAGCATCGCTTCTGCCCCTCTGCGGGCTCTGAGCATCGCTTCTGCCCCTCTGCGGGCTCTGAGCATCGCTTCTGCCCCGCTGCGGGCTCTGAGCATCGCTTCTCCCTCTCTGCGGGCTCTGAGCATCGCTTCTCCCTCTCTGCGGGCTCTGAGCATCGCTTCTGCCCCGCTGCGGGCTCTGAGCATCGCTTCTGCCCCTCTGCGGGCTCTGAGCATCGCTTCTGCCCCGCTGCGGGCTCTGAGCATCGCTTCTGCCCCTCTGCGGGCTCTGAGCATCGCTTCTGCCCCTCTGCGGGCTCTGAGCATCGCTTCTCCCTCTCTGCGGGCTCTGAGCATCGCTTCTGCCCCGCTGCGGGCTCTGCTCCTGCCGGCTCCCCGCCTCTGTCCCCGGCAGGGCCCGGGCCCCGAGCTCTCCGCTCCGCATCCCCGTCCGAGCTGCTGGGGTTGGGGTTTTTGGGTACGGGGATCTGCCCCGCCACCCCTCACCGACAGCGGCTTCGGGGACGCTTTGTGCCCCTCGGCTGCCCGGCGTGGTGGCATCCTCCTTCCTTCCCCACCGCGGGGATGCCCTGGCAGCGGCTCCTGCCTTCCTTCTCCTCCGGGAAGCACGGCCAGGCTCTGGCAGGGTTTTCCTCTGGCTCTTCCGTGGGGTGAGGTTGCTCAAAGCTCCCCCAGAGCCCCGCTGGAGGCGGGGGCCGGCTCCGGGCCGGTTCCCGGGGCAGGTCAAGCCCCGGGCCCCGCACGCTGCCCCTTCCCGGGACCGACCCCGGGCAAAACCCAGGCACCGCCACCACCCCCGGGACGGGCTGGGGGCGATCCCTCTGTGAATGAGAGCCCGGAGTGTTTCATACCCACAGCTCAGTTCTTCCGTCAGATTTCTGGTGAAATCTGGCAAACCTGTGGCGCTGCTTCTGCCACTACGTGCTGCTGTGCTTCTGTAGGAGCAGGAGAGGACAGCAGCTGGTAACACGACTCGCCAGCCCTCGAGGAGAAGCAGATCCATAAAAAACCCGGAGGTCTGAGAGAAAGTGGTAGGTAGCCGAGGACAGGACACAGGCACGCAGGGCAGCAGCAGCAATTTCATCTCAGCTGGGAGCCAAAGTGTTCCCCAGCGCTCGCCAGAGCTGTGCCAGGACAGCTCCCCGAGGGGAAGAGTGAAATTCCCATTCCCTGAAACAATTCTCCCTCCACCTTGGCAGGCAGGTGTGCAGGTGCAGGTCTGAATAAAGAGGGCTCCTGGGCAGGGGAGCAGCTGCCAGCACTGGAATTGTACTTGGTGTCTTCAGAGTTGCACTCCAGCTGCATCATTAATGCATTAATCATTAATTAATCAGTAATTAATTACAAATAGTTGTTCACATCTGGGTTCTGTGGGAGAGGATGCTGTGAAAGGGGAGAAATGTTGTTTTTTCAGAGTCTGTAGTATTTTTAAGCTCAAGTTGTCCCTGTTTGGCCTAAGGGCTGAAGGAGGGTCTGTGATCAAGCTCCTGAGGGGTCACAGAAAAATGTCTCTGTAAAAATGTCTCTGTATAAATCTCTGCCTTGTCTCTGGAAGATCCCATCAATGGTTTGGCTTAGGGCTGCTTTTCCTGATTTACTGGTTTTGGGATGTCCAGGTAAAACTCCCAATGCAGTTCTCAGCCTCCTGGGGCTAAACTTTATCCTGAAGTTCAGAAGCTGTGGCCAGAGCTTGTGGGAAGAGCTGTGAACAGGTGCACACACTGGACTGAGCAGACCCACGGAAGCCAGCCTTGTACATTAAATATAAACACAGATCCAGCCTCCTCTTCACCCAGCAGGAGTGTATTTAATTCGAGAGCCAACAGCATAGAGGGAGACATTGCCTGAAAGACAACTTTTTTTTTTTTCCCAAAGAGCACTGTTACATCCTTTGCTTGGGCCCAGGAAATTTTCCTCCTGAACAAATGCAGAAATACGTTCTCTTTAGATCTGATGGAGGCTTGTTTTACTTTTACTGAACTCCACTTTTAAATTTGCAGAGTATCTGGCCCTAGACATCCCTCCCGCATGAATTAAATCCAAATGCCTCTTGAGCACTGCCCAGGCAGGATTTCCTTCTCCTGCTGCTGTGGGAGAGCTCAGAATGGAGCCATTAACATTCACAGGGAGTCCAGGTGAAGTTCCAAACTATGAAGTGCTGGGTTGTTGCATGTGCACCATCATCAGCAACTCTTTGCTCAGTTAAAACAACTCCAGCCTTGTTCTACAACATCCAGGATAAATGCAAGTGCTCCCTTTATCTTTAGGATGACAGAACCTCTGAGGAGGTTAATGCTGGCAAATAAGTGTAATGACAATATTTAGGCTTCTGTTTTAACATGTTTTTGGGTGAAAGATAACACTTGGTGCTGTTGGTTTGTCCAAACCCCATGTATTGGGTTATGTTTTCGTGGTTCCTTCCTATGCCAAAGAGATTTAGAGTTAAATTATTGCAACAAAAGTCGGTGAGTTAAAATACTTTAAATTAAGTTTTTTGAAACAGTGAGTAAAGCATAATAATTAGCAGAGGAAACTGATAATGGGAATTTTAAGAATATTTTAAGAGTTTATGTTAAACTGCATGTTCTGTATTTTTGCTATTTCTTTGCTACAAGAAGAGATGAAGACTAAATTCAGGAAAAGCATTAGCATAGACACTTTGTGAAAATGTTCATAAATTATCTTTTTAGCTTTCCCATATCAGACATGGGACTAAAAAAGATACTTCTCAGGAACATTATTAGGAAGATAGGAACATATCTTACCTCCAGTGTTAAGGGAAAGGATGATTTCTCAGGGATGACTACACCTGAAATCTGAAGCTGGGTGATGTTCAGGACTGGAATGTTGCTGCTGTTTTCAGTGCCTGCAAAAGTGAGAAACTTTGAAATGGTTTCTTTTCCACTTACACAGACCTTGATCCCAGATTTCTTGTAGTTTATTGACATGCTGCAGATTCAGATAATTTCTGTGGCAAATTTCATCACTAAATTCTGACAAAACACTGAAATAACAGAGAGAAAATTTGAATCAATTTCTTTTATGATTTCTCAAGGAAGGTGTAGATAGCCATCCTTGCAGATATGTTTGCATGGGGTAATTTTCTGGTTAATGAAGATTTCCAGGATAGTTTTCCACATACTTCCCTATCACAACTTTTAATTGATGCCACTGGATGCAGCAATCAGTGCACCACAGTGACTTTTTCCCAACAGAATGTCCTCAGGGTGAGGAATTAATTATTCTTTGCTACAAATACCATTCACAGCCAACTTCTTTGTGCTGCTAGTCAAGCAAAAGGGATTTTAGATTTGCTTCTTCCAAAGGCATCCTCAGAAGCTCAGTATCCCTATTAAACCTCTTTTTTTCCAGTTCCTAAAATATCTCTACTTAGTGCAGCAGGGGAGATTGCAAAGCATGTGAGCAAAAGTGTGTGAGAGAGAGCAGGAGAACTGGGGGAGGTCACAGCACATGCATAAAAAGATGTATTTTTACCTTCTCCATGATGAAAAAAGAAATAATTATGTATCAGTGTTGTGCTCAGGATGCTCACCTTTATTGCTGTTGCTCAGTTCAACTATAATATAATTGTATTTATTCAGGAATACATCTAATTCAGACTAATCTGAACATGGTTTGGCCTGGTTTGAAAATGTTTGTGCTGGTATCAGTGAAGTCTCCCATTCTTCCACGTGAGGAAGAAGTTATGGGGTTTTAACACATCCCGCTGATCTCGTGGAGGAATCTGCACCTTTTTCCATGCTTTGGCCATCCCATGCTGGGGGGA